GAGCCTCACCCAGTTATGGCGCAGCAACATTTAACAGCACAGTGCTCTCCTTTGTCTGTAAAGAAGCCATTTTGAGACAGAGAACAGCAGACAAACATTGCACAATTGTAGCCTATATACCTCCAAATGGTCTCTTTGGATAAAGGGAAGCAGTGAAAAAATACAAGATTTTTCCCTATAAGATTCATTTTGCTCGTTTAAGACTTGGATTACATGTTTTGAATACTAAATGTAAGTTTACAATATCAATCAAAAATATTGGCTAGTTATTCTTTATAACATTCAATATAGTTTTGTTGATATCGTTTTAATCACAATTAATTGTTCATGTTGTCCGTCCTCTATAATACTTATGTGTAGATATACAAACTGGCAAATTAAGTGAAATAGCTCAAAATCCATTACCTTTCAATACAACATTTCCTTGAGGTTTTAAATGATGTAGCTCAGATAGAATTGTCGAAATGCAAGAGGATTTATACTTGACTGCAATCCTGTCTTCAAGGAGAGAGAGGAGATGGTTTGCATATTGCCCACACAGATGATGCTTGAAGATGCATATTCGCTAGCAGAGAGGCAATGCCTACCACTGATCAAAAAGTTTTCAAAAAGAGCTTTATCTTTCGTGCTAATGGATTCCTTCCTTTTCAGGAGACGCATTCCCACCCCTTATTAGTGCCATTAATAGAGGATCCGAAGATGGAGCTGAAAACATTCCTCCTACCCCTGCGTTTAGGCCTGTTAACTGCATTTCACCAAAGTGCTGAGGTAAATATTTTCACCATGAGAGTTTTCCCTCCATCTGTTTCCTCTTAGGTTTGACAGTCTTATTTTTAACAGTTGTAAAGGAAGACAAAAATGTAAAAATGCTACATCTTTAGAAATTGAAATATGCCCTTGAAGCAAGGTCAAGCCAACGTTTACAACTTTGGGCATTTGGTTCTTAAATTGCAAATGGACAGCACAAACCTAATCGTGCTTGTAGTTGTCTCCTCAGCTGTAGGTTGGGTATAACACAGGCCACCAGGGTGTTAACCGGTGCTGTTGTGAGAGGAAAGTGTTTAAAGTCATTAATCAAAGCAAAGGGGTTATCAAACAGTCAAATTTACAGGCAGCACAATAAGTTATTTGGCAAAAGGACCATTAAAGTTATCCATGGCCTGTTTTCTGTTATTTGAGGAGCAGTGGTATATCCTATAATAATGACTGTAGGCTGTATGTCAGCATGCCAGTTCCCATATTGAAATGCTTCCTGTTACAAATGCCACAATTTCTATGTGATAGATAAACAAAAGTACTTTTAATAACAGTAAGTGCATGCTTCACATTTTACATACTAAATTATCAAAATTTAAATTGTTATAAAAGAGTTGAACTTACTCATTGCTACTCATATCCTACAAGGCCATAAGTACAATGCCAACAATCAGCCTTTACATATTTTGTCAGTTAAACTGTGTTTTTTTCTCTCTAATTTAACATCTCCAAAACCATCAACCTGTTTATTCACAACATTTGGTTTCTTTTGACTTTAGAAGTATAAATGCTATTATATGGGTGTGCCATGACCTAGTTAAGACAAAGATGGATTCCAGGCAGAGGAAAAAAGGCTCAAAATGTCACAGGGTATTACATCCAGTACATTCTCTTCCTTCTTCTCAATCCTTTAAAAGGAGGAATCATAGTTTTATCATAGTCCGTGAGAAATGAGGAAATCAAGTGTAAGATCCCTTTTGGAACAAAGGAAACCCATATAGGCCATTGAGTCCTGTTTTTAGGAAAATGGCTGCCGAGAGCGCTCAGCCCCCTCTCCCTGCTCTCTGTTGAAGGACTCCTGAGCCGTGCCTCTAATAGCAGGCAGCTCTGGTGCTGCTGCGCTCTGATTGGCCCGACGATCTGCCGCTGTTAACCAGCCAATTGCCCGAGCACTGCAAAACTGCAGGCAATGTCAAATAAAATCCAGTTTGTTAAGCAGCACAGTTTCGCGGAAAAGTATTAAAAAATTGAACACTGTCTACTTTAAAACGCTCTGCAGCTGTTTGTAAACACGGGGACCCACACGGCGGTTTAGCACTAGTTTGTTGGTGAGGATTATAGACCAGCCATAAACTGCCGCGTGCCAGAGGTTATAAACCGAGGTTTGTTAAATTCGACTCCTAACCACCGGGGTTTGGTAACAAAATACTATACTATTCTGTTGGACCTCTCTCATGAACTGCTACCTAGCAGTCAACAACTAGGTATACAGCAGCGGAGTCCCACTCTGTTTATCTTCTATACACATTTCCCTCGACACTGTTTAATTCGGTTATGACAACAGGTCTGAAAATAAACAAATACAAATTATTAGACTCGGTGCCAGTGAAGAAGATACCCCCCAGCTTGTGTTTGCCATTTCGGTAAATGCAATCGGCAGATTCCACACAAAAGGTTTTGGCTGTTTAGCACAAAGCTAATCCCAGATATACAGTAATCTGGTATATACATATGAATGCTGCTTTTTGGGTCGTTTACACCATTACAATTGTATACAGGGCAACAAAAGACTTAAATTACAAAGGAGAGAAAAAGAAGTTTGTAACGAAAGTGCGACTACCGTGGGAGGTGGGCAAGCCTAGCGGTGTATTGTGGGAGAGACAGAAGCTACAGACTAGAGGCACACAATATGTGTTGGCTCTCGCCGAAGAGGAGGCAGTATTCTTCAAGCTAAATCATGTAATGTACACGGCGAAAAGACCGCGATATCGTCTTTTCATCAATTAAAGAAAAATCACTCGATCGGACGAACCATGTCCAAGCCAGGGGAGAAGTACAGATTGAACGAAGACCATGGCAGAAAGCAGAGTTCAAGTAAGCTTGTTCTTTTTTCCTCTTTCTCCAGCCTTCCTAATGCCAGTATTCCGTAACTGGGATATACGCTAGATCCCCTTTTCGCTCCCACTTGGGTTACCGCTGCCACCAAAGTCATGCATCGGTAACGTCTGGTTGTTTTAACATGCTGGGGGTTGGTAAAGGGACCGTATTTAGCGTTGCCTCACGATAGCTCTCCTCTCCTTATTGCTGCATGTCGTTTCAGGTTTTGCGAACGGCATGGACAGTCATCCCGTCTGTGCCTCGGCGGAGAAGCGGAGTCACCACTGGAGAAGTTACAAGTTGATTATTGACCCGGCGCTGAAGAAGGGATCACACAAACTATATCGCTACGATGGACACACTTTCAGCATGCCTGTAAGTGGAGCGCATTTGACGCGACGCAACGGCTACAATAGTAACCGAGTAGCCGACCTCCATGATAGGTTACAATGTGGCTGTGTTGCCGTGGTCGGCCACGGGCATGTTCCAGCATCTTGAACGGCGTTTCAGAGGGGTTCATATTTATCAAACAACGTGCCCGGTTTGCGCAGGACTACTTTGCAACAAGTTAGTGCCATGTGAAGTTGTGAATGGGCTGGATAACGGCATTGTGTTTCCTCCTCTTCTCCTACAGAACCCCGGGATACCACCGGTGGACATCGTCCGAGACCCGAGGATCGGTCGTCTCTGGACCAAATACAAAGAGACGGACCTGCCGGTGCCCAAATTCAAGGTATCTACTCTGACAGAAAGTGCAGTGCCAGCTTTTTTTCTTGTGGAAAGGGGGTGCTGTCAGAAGTTGCAGACACACCCCCTCACTCGTCGTATAGGATGTCCAGTGAAAGTCCGATTGGCTTGTCTCATCTGTCAGAAATGATGGTGCAACATTAACCCGAAAGCACTTAATAACCGTAGCCGGTCTCATTCTTCTCCAGATCGATGAGTGTTACATCGGCCCTGTGCCTCCAAAGGAGGTGACATTCGCCAGGTTGAACGACAACATCAGAGAAGGATTTCTTACCGAAATGTGCAAAAAATATGGAGAAATCGAGGAGGTCGAGATCCTGTACAATCCAAAGAACAAGAAACACTTGGGAATTGCCAAAGTTGTTTTTGAGAGCGTGAAAGCTGCCAAGGTGGCCGTGCAGTCGCTTCACAACACCTCTGTGATGGGAAACATCATCCACGTGGAGCTCGACCCGAAAGGTAAACAGAGATTTACGCATTCAGTTAAAAGGTGTTTAACCTATATTTGTTCACTACGGGACATTTAAAGTGAAATGTTGTGTTGTTGTGAATGATTAGGAGGACAACAGTCACGTGTGTGAATCTACATGTGTTGCCTGGTAACATGGGATAATTGAATTTCATTGAATGTAAGCCTGCTCCCACAAGCCCAGGGCTGAGGGTGATGTGTACTCCCACTGTGCCTAATTTCAAACCTATAAACAAACAAACCGGAGTCCTCTCCTCTTCATGTTGATACTGTTGAATCACTTTTAAGATAAATGACTGAAATTTGATATGGCTGTTCAGTCAGTAACACTGTTGTGTTGCTATCTGTCTGCTGTTTTTGCTTTTGACTGACATAAAAGAGCAACTTTAATGCCATTTAATGTTAACTAATTAGTGTTTGACTTGCAGCAGTTTTGCATCTCTGCTTATTTGATCATAGAAAAATGAGTTGTATGTTAATTTCAATGTGAGCAGTTGCTGTAGCTGCATAGGTGCTATGTTATTGATTTATTCCCTGAAATTTATTTATTATTTCAATAAAATGTTGAAAGAAGAGTAAGAATATTTGTGTAAGATATGATAATTATATGATTTGGTCACATTATTGTTGCATTATGGCATTTTGGATTACCATATGTACATCAAATATATTTATTGTACAACATACTTTAGTTTTTTAGTTCACAAATCATATGTAGGCAAACAACACATGGTCCTACACTTTTCAGAATAACTGGGCAAGTGTTTAGTCAGAAGGGAACTTCATTAGTATATGTTGCCTTTGGAAATATTTAAATTTGAGTTCAGCTACTATTGAATAATTACTGTTATTTAAGTAATACCAGATTAGTTTTAACACTGCAAACTGGCATAAAGCCTGCATTATGTTTGGCATCAGATCCACTCATGTTTACCATTCTGCAGGTGAGAATCGCCTTAGGTACTACCAGCTCCTAATGAATGGCAGCTACACTCCACGGACCCTGCCTGTTGGTGGAGAGGAGGCTAGAGAAGTTTCCCCTCGTAGTCTGGCAGAAGCATTACTGGTAAAACTCATTTAATAATATGTAGTTTTTTAAATTCCTCTACCTAAACTCTGACGGTGGGAGTTAGTTTTACTGTAGTCCTTGCTGGTCTTTGCGAGGACAGACTGGAGAACAGTCATAGTATGGTGTGTTACTGTGTAGATGGGATTATGGAATAGTGCTGTTACTTTGTAGAAATAAACCATCTTGGCAGTCTAAGCTGACATCCTTATCTGTAATCCATTTGATCAGTGTAGCAGGTGGTGGAGTAAAACAGAGGAAATGTTTTCCAGAAGCTGTGGATTGAAATCTGAAAGTCATTGAAATGTGCACTTTGGCCGTGTAGTATGAATTCCCCAATGCATTGTGCCTAGATACTGTTATCTACTAGTGTGGCCTTGTAAATAATCCTTGCAGGTGTACACAGTGAAATGTACTATTAGTAAAATCATCAGGCTATTTTTCACAGCTGCATTGATTATACAGTAGCTTCTAAGTTACTACCTGAAGGCATCCTCAACAATATGTCAGGAGTATTTATGTTTTTGTTGTTAACTGTGACCTCTTCTCTTGGTCACATTTGTCTTTAAGGCCTGCGAGCCCATCCGTAGGTTATCTGAGAGCAGTGTGTCTGCTGTGGGAGGAACACTGCCACCTAGCAGCTCCACCACCCCTCTGTCCCTGGAGACAGGCTACTCCAGCCTAAGGCAGGACACACCTCAGTCCCAGGGAACCCCTCATACTCCACGCCAGACAGGTACGCCCTTCTCTCAAGACTCCAGTTACTCCAGTCGGCAGTCCACACCTGCGTACCAGTCCAGCCGGCCGGAGAGCTCCGGAGGCTACAAATCCCGGAGACACGAGAGTAAGTTCCAGGATGCGTACAACCGCCGACCGGAGAGGCCTCAGTACCGCAGCATGTACCGGAGTACAACGTCTGAACAGGCGCCTTTCAAACAACATCAACTCACCCCACCTGAACCCCCACCCTCCACCTCCTCCTTCACCTACACAGCACCTCCTCCTGCTACGCCCAACTTCAAGTCCGCCTTCTCACCCTACCAGACTCCTTTGCCCCCTGCGTTCCCACCGTCAGAGCCAGCTTTCCATCACCCAGCCCAAAGGGAGGGTGAGTACCTCCGACCACAGCAACCGCCTCTGGCAGCTGGCACTGACTTACTTCCCCCTAAGGAGAGACCAGAAACTCCTCCGATCCCCGAGCCCCCACCAGAGCCTGTACCCCATCCTACCACCCCTCCTCCACAAACGCCAGAGCACTGTCCCTCACCTGGCTCCCCCACGCTGGATCCAGAGCGCAATAGCCTGGATTCTCGCATTGAGATGCTCCTCAAAGAGAAAAGGACAAAACTGCTGCCGTTCCTAGATGATCGAGACTCGGACACTGAGGTGCAAATGGAGGGAAGTCCAATTTCCTCCTCCTCCTCTCAGCTTTCCCCAATTCCCCCTTACACAAGCGGCTCTCAAGGTGGCCAACAAAATTCCCGACCCACTAGCACAGGCTTGGAGGATATTAGTCCGACCCCACTGCCAGACTCCGAAGATGAGGAGCCAATTCCTGGAACCGCCTCTCTGATCAAGAGAATCGGCTCTCCTGTGCATGAGAAGATGAGCAACAGTGACCTCAAAGGTGGACATTTTCGAGGCCACACTCCCACAGATAAAATGGACACAGTAAGAAACAATTTTTTTTTTCTGATATTAGTATAAAAATAGCTGAAAAAATAAGTGCATGTTTCCATGTGTTAAGTTTGTCACGCTTCACAGAAAACTACATCCAAAGCTGCTAAAATTAGCTTGGATTTATTGTCTCGATTAGTTGATAGGAGCATGCTGCTGATATTTACACACAGCTGTGAATGACAGTTACACAGAGGACACAAGAAGTGAGATCTAGTTTCAGTGCAAGGTGGCAGTAGTAAACTTTCTCTTTTGTTTCGTTCTTTTTTTTCTCTGCTTTGTAAAGGAAATTCCGGTTTCACTGCATACTCTGTACGAGGGTATCACATTAAGCTGTCTGATCTGTCAGTTAACCGCTGTTGTGTTGCTTCTTTTTGTGCAAAGATTGTTTTTCAATCTTAAAACTAGCAATAAGAAACAAGTAGTTTGTGTATAACAACCTTTTTAAAAAGGTGTATTTGTTGGCAGAATAGTATCTGAGTTTGTGTATAAACGATGTACAAAACAGTTATGAATGAAAGGTTTTCGATGCATAGCTCTGCAGCCTTTCAAATGCCTTCACATTCATATAAAGTTGATCTCCTTGTTTATAGTTAGAGTACTACCACCTGGCCTGTGATGTTGTGTTCCTACACTTTGTGCTGTGCTTTAAAAGAAGAAATAAGTGCTGTTCTGCTGTTGGGGAAATGAAGACTTTTGTTTCCTCTTTCTAACATTAACCACACATGCTCACTTGGAGTGAACACGGTTTGGCTGTTGGCCCCGTCCCACACCACACTTCCTAGTTTTGCTGCGCCTGACAGTCAGGATTGGCCACGGTGGTTGTGGTCTCACATTTCAAGTTATCACAAAGCAAACAGTGCAAACAGGTCATTTGGGTAACGACACCACTCCCACACTGAGTGTACTCGGCTTAGTTTCATTTCTACAGCAGTTATGACAGAGATCCTTTTATAATATTGAATAGCAGGGAAGAGAATCCCATGTTTACGTCTGATGACACAAGTCTTGCGTTCACATTTTATACTGTGGTGTTAGGACTACATAGTCTGAACAGGTCTGTTTGGAAACAGCGTTAGTTATGTTTGGCTGTGTTAATGCACTAAACTTTGAACTCAGATCAGCTCTAGAATTATATGTTGCTCCTGTTTTGATTTGATTTGATTTATTCTTTCAAGCATGTAAAAACAGTTGATATGTCAACACACATAATTTTACACATATCCAACAAATGCTAATCCA